AGTCCCTGGAGAAGAGCAGAGCCGGTTCATACTCTAGTCTAGACAGTGGTCCTTCCTCCCTGGTGTCATGTATCCCAGTGGCCTCAACCCATTACATAGCCAAGGACAACCTTGAATCTGCACTTCTGTCCTTCTGCCTCTCAATCGGCTGGGGTTACATTTGCCTCCACACCCAGTTTCTGTGGTGCAGGAGGCAGAACTTGGGGCTCCATGCGTGCTAGGCAAACTCTCCACTGACTGCCACATCCCCAACTGCTGGTGCTCACAGCCGGTGATGCCACAATGCCCTGCAAAGACCCCAGGAGAGAGGGTTGTAAAGAAACCGCTGGTGCCGGGGCACACGCGTTTAATCCCAGCACTCTGCGAGGCAGAGGCAGGCAGATCACTGTGAGTTCGAGGCCAGCCTGGTCTACAAAGTTTAATGAGCCCCAAACCCTTTTCTCCTGTTGCCTGACCTCTGAACCCAAGTCTGGATTCTCAACCTGCCAAAGGGACACAGCTCTATGTGAGATAGAGGTCACAGCAAGTTCACAGCCAGCCTCCATCTGGAGAAGAGGTTAGCTGATAAGCTGCTCCTCCCAGCTCTGCCAGCCTGCTTCTACCCAGGATGGAATTCCCTTGTCTTTCTCTTCCAGCACCCCTCTTCCCTGAAGCTGCACCTGCATCAAGGGATGGAAGTGATCTCCATTGTGCCCAGAAAATTCCTGGGCTGCATGGTTTGCCACTCAGTCTCTCACATTCCAGGGACCTACCCAGTTTCATACATACAGCAAGTGTTCAATAACAATCCACAGACTAAACAAACACTCCAGCTGAAGAGCTCCTCTGTGTATGCAGTTTGTTCAGAAATGGAGGGTCCTTACGGTGTAAACACAAGCCTGAAGTCACAGCAGTTTCTGTTGTACCTTGAACCTCTGGTGATCCTGTCACTTGCTTCTGACCTGTGCCTCTACAAAATAGGACAGAAAATCCTCTTGCTTATGTGCTATGTGATAATCTGCAAGAGGTCAAAGTGCAATCCAAAGTGTGTTGTGGGGAGGGTGTCCTGCTAAAGCCCCACCCTGTGAGCTTCCCATTCCTTTCCAGCCCACTGAGACCTGGAGCCCCATGTCCCGCCACACTCCTGGAAGGATACCTAGAAGCAGAGCTTCCTCTCCACAAGAATTAACAACACTGGGGGCACAACTGGGCCTCCTGTGCACCCACAGAGATCCACACATGCCTTGCATGCCTGCACTTCGTCTTCAGTCTACAACACAAGAAAGCAGGGAAGGCATTCTGGCTCCGAGGCTGCACCAGGGATGGGCTCCCACCTGCTGGGACCCAGCCATGCTCAGAAGCCTTGCTGCTCCTATATCCACTCAAAGCTTGAGGGCAGCCATTTCTGTTTCTGTCCTGCACAGAGAGCTCAAAGACCTGCAGAATGAAAACAGTCACTAGGGAGCCACTCGGGGACAAACATCTGAGACCCGGGAGCTCCCTTACAGGACATCCAGGCTTTCCTACAGAGCCTGGGCCACATTAGGCAGGCAGTGAGTTCTACAGCCTGCCAGGCCAGCAGCTAACCTTTCCCACAGCTGGGGGAGCATCTGTTGAGCTGCCCCCCTGGACCTGATGACAGACCACTTCTTTTTGGCAGGCTCCTTGGGACCCGGCCATCTCCACACAAGAAGCTGGTCATTCAGGTCTTAAAACAGACTTGCATTCACTCAGAAACAGAGCACCCCTGTGGCCACGCTTCTGAAGGGAGGCGCACAGACAACCTTGGCCACACAGATGCCCCCACTCAGGCTGCCAGGGGTGGCTACTCTCCAATGACAAGTCAGCTCTGTTTACCCCTGGATACTGTCCAGCAGAGCCCACGCTAACATCTGAGGATGCCCATCTCAGAATCCCTCCAGCCCTGTGGATGCTCCAGACTCTGCTCAGAACCACAGGTAACTGCGAGGCCCTGGGGCCCTGACAGAGACTGGGTGGTGGCAGGCCGAAAACCACGACTGCTGCTGGGGGCTTTGAGGAAGCCACTGTTGCTTTCTGGGACAAGAAAGTCTCTGCTGGGGGTGGGGAAGGCAGAGGCCAGGAAGCTAGGTGACCTACAGACGGCCACCTGCTCTCTGTGTCAGGATTCCTGTCCCAGAAGGGGTTGACAGTTTGCTCAGAGGACTGCCAGCCCATCTCCCTCTGCCTTCCTTCTGCAAATACCAACTGAAAAATGAACGCTTGTTATTCCCTCCACTCTGGTAAGTGCTGTGTGCTCCAGGGAAGGAAGGCGAGGCACTACCCACAGCGTGTCTGCTAGGGGAGGCAGACGTGAAGCAAATATTAACATAAACCAGTACATAATTATAAGTCCGTAATGTACACCCTGAGGAAAAGCATGGGTGTCAGGAGAAATTCTACCAGAGAGGCCAGGCTCACCTGGATGGCCAGAGTGATTCTTTTCAAGCAACTAAGACCCTGCAGCTGATCTCCATTGGATGTTCACCACATGGGGAAGAGAGAAAGTGGCTGCAGAGGGGTCATTAGAGAGGTCAAAGAGCAGGCCAACGGTGCGGGACTGTAAGAGGCCCTGTTTCTGGAGGGCTTTGGTGAGCAGTGAGGTGGTAAGTAGTGAGATCAGAAAGGTGGGCAGAGCTGGATGGTATAGACTGCATGAGCTCCAGTGAGAGTCACTGCCTTACAACAATGGGTACCCAGAGAAGGGATTTAAATGAAAAGAAGTATACTATCAATTTTTTGTTTTTTTAATATAAATATTTTTATTAATTTGTATATGCGTATAGATGTCGGTGCCTATGGGGTTTGGAGCATAACTTCAGAGGGTTGCTTCTTTCTTTCTACCGTGTGATTTCCAGGGATTGGATTCTGGTCATCAGCCTTGCTGATCCGTCATGCTGGACCTTAACACTAACCTGTATCCTTAAAATGACTAAGATGCTATGTTTTGTGTTATGTGGATTTCTTAAATTGCCACTATGTAGACCAAGTTGGCCTTGAACTCATATAAATCCACTTGCCTCTACCTCCCAAGTGCTGGGATTAAATGAATGCTTCCACACCCAACTCAACAATTTAAAAAAGAACCCTTACAAACTCAACGAGAAAAAGACAAACGACCACATAAAGAATGGCACATATCTGAATCAGTATTTCTCAAAAGATGATAAAAATGTCCGGCAAGTATGTAAAAAGGTCATCAACAACATTAGCCATGAGGGAAAACCACCCACAAAGCGTACCTCTCCACACCCCCTCGAAGCCCGCCATCAGTAACAGGTGCGGGAGAGGCTTCGGGGATACAGAGACCCTCTCTCCAGCTGGAAGTGGTGTGAAATGGGGCTGGCATTTTGGGAAAACAACCACTGAAGTTACCATACAACCGAGCAAACATCCCTAGGAACATATGAAACAGAAGTAAAGATGCATGTTCAGACTGGAGAGATGGCTCGGTGGTGGTTACGAGTGTGAGCTGCCTTCCAGAGGAGCAGAGTTCAATTTCTAGTACCCACATCAACAGTTCACAGCCACCTGCAAGTCCAGCTCCAGGGGACTTTGACACCTGTGGGCTTTCAACATGCACAAACACACACAGACATGGGCACAAAACTAAAAATAATAAATAAACGAAAATGCATGCCCACACAAAATACTATCCATAAATGCTCACAGCAGCATTACTCAGAAAAACCAAAAAATGAAACAGCCTACACGCCCATCAATAGATAAATAAAATATTTCTCTTCAGCCATTAAAAAAAAAAGTAAGCAAGGAAACACTGACACATGCCGATCGTGAACGGTGGAGGTATACGCAGGGGTGGTTGAATGCAGAGCCTGCAGAGGCCAGAAGGGGACGTCAGATGCCTGGAGCTGGAGTTACAGGCAGTTGAGAGCCAGCTAAAGCAGGGGTGGGAGCTCAACCTAGCCACTCTTACCTCCAGGAAAGGATCTTCAAACTACTGTTAACTGGAAGAAGGCAGTCACAAAAATACTGCTTCCTCTACAGTTCCATGTGTAAGCAAAATACAAAACTGGCAAATCCATATAGAAAGAAAGCAGATTGGTAGACCCTGGGGTGCAAAAAAGGGCAAATGGGGAGTGACGTCTAACTGTTCCTTTAGTTTCTTTGCAGGGCAAATATTCTGGAATTACAAGGTGGTCTTGTTTGCATAACTGTGTGAATATCAAACACATCACTGAATTGGACAAGCAGCATGTTGGCTGTGTGGTACATGTGCTTAGCATGTATAAGGCCCTGGTTGCATCCCTAGCACTGAATAAAAAAACAAGCATGACTTCAATCTCAATGCAGTTGAGGAGGGAGGGAAGGAGGAAGAAGAGACCCAGGGCTTAAGGAACGCATGGAAGAAAAAGAGAGGGGCGGTCCTGCCAAATTATGTTATAAAGAATGTTTGCCATGGTTCTCCCTCACTTTTAATCCCAGTACCCAGGAGGCAGGGAGAGGATGATCTCTGAGGTTGAGGTCAGCCTGGCATACAGAGTAAGTTCCAGGTCAGCCAGGGCTACACAGAGAAACCTTTAAAAAAAAAAAAAAAAAAAAAAAAGAAAGAAAGAAAAATATAAAACTCCAAGTGTGTAGGTTGAAAAAAAAAAGCATTTCCAAAGGAGGACTGGGCGAATAGCAGGACAAACAGTGCTGAGGTTTGCTGAAGGTAGGCGACAGCAGACCTTGAATGTGGACGCTTTGGTGCTGTGATGGGCCGGGCTCCTCCTTCCTCCCCCCCTCCCCCCGACTGGTGACTGGGAGGGACAGTGAGCCTCTGACCACATGTGAGGAAACCGGGCCACCAGCCAGCTGGGCACCACAGCAGCCTGGACGCTTGCCTCCCCTCACTTCCAGTAACAGACAGCGGCGTTGTCTGGATGGCGGGGCCGTTCGCTCCCCCATGGTCGGAAAGGGCAGTTGAGTGCATCCGCGCCTCGGAGACCCGGTGCTGCCTCACTGCACCGGGTCACAACCCACCCTCCATCCGCTCTCACCTGCAGTTCCTCCACCCCAAGGACGCACCAACCACAAGAATCTTTTTCTAAGCCTGCCCTGGAAAGGACTGGGAAGATCAAGGTCCCTAAGGCCCCGGTGGCGGCCACACCCGGAATTCCAGTACCACACTTAGTGGTTCCTAAGGCGGTGCCTGCGGCGACACTGATCGCGTCAGGGTGGCGCGGCCTAGCCCTCTGCCAGCTGGTGAGTCGAGCTGGTAGCACAGAGCGTAGATTGTAGATCAGGAGACCTGACGTGAGGGCAAGAGCAGCGCCCCACCAACCGGTGTCCTGGGATGGTGAGCCTGCGCCCTGGAACTGTGCCCAGCACCAGCGCTGGCAGCTGGCCGCTACTGTGCACGCCCCTGGCGGGGCTGGAGTCCATACCCCGCCGCAGGCTCCTCGACAACGTGGCTCCTCAGGCAGATTCCTGACCAGTGACCCAATCTTGAGCTCTGGAGCCTCTTCCCCAGGGAGCGCCCCAGACTGCAGAGCTGATCAAAACCTCCTAGAGAGTGCCATCTCTCGCCGCTGTTACTCAATACATGAAGGGTGTAGCTATTGTACGAAAGGTGAGAAAAAAAAGATCTCTTTGTTTAAAATAAATCACTGTTATATGACTGTGAAAAAGCAAATAAAACAAAAACCTTAGGGGTTGGTGAGATAGCCCAGTCGGTAGAACGCTTGTCACCAAAGGATAAGGGCTTGAATTTAATCGGGAGAGAGGAGACGGAGGGCAATTGAGGCAGACACTCCACCCCTGACACAAGTAAGAACACACAGGAGCGTGCGCACGCGTTCTCTCTCTCTCACACACACACATCCACACTTGGAGAGACAGAGAGTGACAGAGAAACTATATTTGGACCACACACAGCTAACAGGAGAAGCTCCAGCCCACTGGAAGTGCCTCACACATACTGGGTGAGGATTCTACGACCCCACCCAACGGCACCCCCCCCCAGGCCCTAAGGGTTCATTACTACCCACTGTTACAGCTGGGGGGCGTGGGGGCCCATGCCTGGTCTCAAGAGGAGGCATGAAGAGCATGAGGTCAGCCTAGGCTACAGAAGGGGAGGGCTGGGAAGAGATGAATTCCTTTTTGTTGTTGTTGTTTGTTCTTTTGTTTTGTTTTGTTTTTCAAGACAGGGTTGCTCGGTGTAGCCTTGGCTGTCCTGAACTCACTTTGTAGACGAGGCTGGTCTCACACTCACAGAGATCTGCCCGTCTCTGCACACACACCCCCAGCACTGGGATCACAGATGTGCGCCAACGTGCCCAGAGAGATGAATTCTTAATAAGTTAACTCTAAATGGCCCTACCCTTTATTTGATCTGGAAGACTATATTCTTGAGAAAAGTCAAGACTTTTTTTTTTTTTTTTAAAGAAAATGTGGAAGCCTCACCTAACCAGGCGTCAGAACAAATTACAAAGGGATTGCTGGCTTACAGAACAGTAATAGATCGACAGGACACAGAGTGCAGCAAATGATCTCTGGATATAAGATATTTGAGTATAGAGTGAAAATATTTTGAGAAAGAAGATTACTTGTTTAATAAATTCGATGGGATAAAGGCTGTCTCGAATCTCTCACAAAAGACATTCAAGGTACAGTAAGCATGTACATATCTCTAACTTTGGGGTTATTTGAACTCAAGCCAGTCTTCCCACTTCAGCCTCGTGAGTGCTGGGAGACAGGCACATGTCACCACGCCAGCTAAACACTTAGGAGTCTAAATCTACAAAGAATTAGAATATAATAAAAACAAATTTTTTTAAATATCAGAAAAGTTTCCCAAGTAAGGCACAAAAATCTAGAAAGCAAAGATTTCACTGTATAAGAAGGGACTGGAGGGATGGCCAGCAGTAAGCACACTGGCTGCTCTTCCAGAGGAGCCAGGTTCTATCCCCAGGACCCACGTGGTGTTCATGCCTGTCTGTAACTCCAGCCCCAAGAGAGCTTATACCTCCCGCCTTCTCCGGTACTTGCACTCACATATACATACATATGCAGACATGCACACACCTAGACACAGTTCCAAAACAATAAAGTTCTTGATTGCATAAGAACTTTTAAACTTTTGTACATCGAAATTTAATATTTGATGAACAAATCAAAGCTGGGGGTAACGAAACGTGCCCGTCACTTCAGTAAGCTGAGGCCGAAGCTGGCAACCTGGGCAACATAGTAGGAACTGCTTCTTCTTTTTAATATTTGTACAAGCAACTGCTTAAAAAAAAAAAAAAAAGACACAAATACATCCAAGTCATTAAGCAGCCTAACAGAAAAGTGCACAGAGCCACTGCAGAGGGGCGTGCCTGCAGCCCCACAACAAGAGACCAAGCCAACGTTGGGGAGCATTCTTCGCTAGTTTGGGATACACAGGGGGTTTCAGACTAACCCTGTCTCAAAAAACAAAACAAAACAAAACAAAACACTAGGGTTGGTAAACCTTACAAGCCTGATGACCTGAGGTCAGTCCTTGGAACATAACAAGGAAGGAGATGACTTCTGAGAGTTGTCCTCTGACCTCTGCATGCATGCTGTGGTGCCCACACGCACTTATTAACACACACACATATATAATGCATAACATTTTAAAAACTGAAGCCAGTCTCGGCGGCACACACCTGTAATCCCAGCACTCAAGATCTCTGTGAGTGTGAGGTCAGCCTGGTCTACAAAAGGAGTCCAGACTGCCAAGGCTACACAGAGAAACCCTGCCTCAAAAACAAACAAACAAACAAACAACAATTAAAATACAAAATATATAAAACTGATTTGAATCTACAATTATGTCAAAATAAAAAATTTACTTTTAAGAATTAACTTTGGGCTGACAAGATGGCAGCCAGGGGATGCAGAGCTGGGTCCCGAGCACCATGTCAGTTTGCTCACTCCCACCTGTGACACCTGTGACACCAGCTCAAGGGGATCCAAAGTCTCAGCCTTCTAAAGCACCTACACTCAAGTGCACATTCCCCCACATACACACAATTTTTAAAAAGTGAACTTTGGCTGGGTGTGGTGGTGCTCAATTTAATCCTAGCGCTTGGGAGGGAGAGGAAGAGAGATCTCTGTGTGTTCAGAGCCAGACTGGTCTACAGAGTGAGTTCCAGGACAGCCTGGGTATAGAGAGAGACATTGTTTCAAAATAAATAATGAATAAATAAAATTGGATCTGGTGTTTGTTTGTTTGTTTGTTTTACTGTATACAAACTAGAGTTATCAGAGAGAGGGAATCACAATTGAGAAAACGCCTCCATACGACTGACCAGTGGGGAGGCCTGTGGGGGTTTCTTAGCTACTGACTGAGGCAGGAGGGCCCAGTCCTTTCCAGGTAGAGCTAGCACTGCACAGGTGCTCCTACGCTGTGAGACAGCAGGCGGCAGGCTATGAAGAGCCAGCCAGCTGGCGGTGTCCATCCGTATGGAAGCTCCTACCTCCAGGCTCCTGCCTTGAGCCTGCCCAGACCTCCCTCAGGAATGCAGTGAAGCCTGAGAGCTACAACCTGAAACAAACCCTGCTCTCTCCAAGTTGCTTTGGTCATGGCTTTTCATCATACCACAGAAGCTCTGACCTAGACACTTGCGGACGTAGCTCAACGGCGGAGTGTTTGTCTAGCTTGTGCAATGCCTTAGGCTTATCCTTAGCACTGAAAAACTTAAAGCAGAATAAACTTTACACTTTACAAAAGAAGACAGAGGAAGTTCTTAGAGCTGGTGCTGAATCACTGGAGACTCCCAGCTGGAGGCACTTGAAGAAGATACCTCTGGGTGAGTACGTACTCGCTGAATTGCACAGCCGGCACAGCCTGGGGATCTCTGAGCCGCGAGTTAATGTCTGACAAGCCAGCCCGGAGCTGAGAGGCGAGACTTGTAGAGCAGGACCTCAGACGCAGATCTGTCCAAAGAGCTGGACTATCTGCATTGTATCACATTGGCTACTACTTAGAAGTGATATAAAAGACCAAAAGAAGGAAAGAAAAAAAGCAACACAACCTTCTCCCCCTCTGTTCTTGTTTTTCGAGACAGGATTTCTCTGTGTAGCCCTGGCCGTCCTGGACTCACTCTCTAGACCAGGCAGGCCTCAAACTCAAAGCTCTGCCTGCCTCTGCTTCCTGAGTGCTGGAATTAAAGGCGTGCACCACCAAAGCCCCTTTTCAATGTTATTCATATCAAAAAATTTACCACCAAAAAAAAAAAGTTCAGAGTTGAAGAGATGGCTCGGTGAGTAACAGTGCTTGAAGCAGAAGCTGGGGAACAGGGATGGAAAAGCCCAGGCGCTCTCTGGCCAGCCAACTCAAGTGGGGAGCTTCCAATTCAGCCAGACCCTGTCTAAGGGTAAAGCAGAGGGGCCTGAAACTCTCCTCCAGCCTCTACACGGATGCCTGTAACCATATACCTACATGCATGCAGTACACACACACACACACACACACACACACACACACACACACACAGTGGGTGGACGGAAAGATGGAGCTGGGTTTAAAACAAAATGTGGGCCCACTTATTACTATCATCCTTAGGCACGTTACTGCAGCCATGATTCCCAAACCCAGAGGGACCATTCTGTAGTCAGTGACCCTTCACCCACAGCAGTCCTGTCATTCTGTCCCTCCTTTAATGAAATCCTCGTTCGATTGGTGCAGTCAAGGCCACGCCCCTCTTGCCCACCCCACTAAGTCACCTTTCCACTTCCTGCTTTAAATGGAAGCAACTGGTCTTTCCCAGTCCTCCCAAGTCTCCTCCCACCTTCCCGACCCCAGGTGACAGGCTAACCGAGTCAGGAAGACTCAGCCTTCCTAATGCCACAACCCTTTATCACAGTGCCTCTTCTTGTGGTGACCCCAACCATAAAATTACCTTCTTTGCTAGTTTCTCACAGCAACGTTGCTGCTGTTATGAGCAGTAATGTGAATGATGTCTGCTACGTGAACCTTGTGAAAGAGCTGCTCCATTCCCAAAGGGGTCATGGCCCGCAGGTTGAGAGCCACTGATGTGCCCCCTCCCTCTGGGGTAGGCACAGGTTGCAGGGTAGGTGTGTGAACTCCTGGCACGTGGGGAGAAAAGCATCTCACCTTTAATTCCATCAGCAGCAAAAC